GCATTTTCCAATGTAAACCCTAAAAAAGGTAAGGCCTCTGAATGAAGACTTACAATATTCAGGCCGGGATGAGGAAAAGTAGGAGTGAACCCAGAGGAAGGGCCAACTAGGAAAGCAGGAACCTGACCATACGCTGTGATCACTTCCTAGTCCTGTCTTCCCAATTTGCATTTACAACTACTTCCCTTTGAATCTCCTGTTTGGCTATATCTGCCCTAAAGTGAGAGTGCAGGCTGTCACCTGTTTCCACCCATCATCACTGAGTCTGCTCCTGCTGCGTGCTATTTCTGCCTGTCTTTTCCTGTCCGTCTTGGGAGTCATCCCCTTCTTTCAGCTAGTGGGCTGTGACGTTAATGACGGCAGGAATAAATCGCATCAAGAGCACTTTGATGGCAGTTTGTCAATGCAGGGTCATTGACAGCTTCCATTAGCAACAAGTGCTATTTCTGAGTGGAGCACAGGCTGTAGATGCAGTAGGACAGAATCTGAATAAGTGGCAGGCTTGGATTTTAGCCTGATTTCCTAAGGAAATGAGGCTAGTGTGACTTTTTTTGTGCATGTCTGGCTGGCTGCCTGCAAAGACGTGTGAACTTGTAGGTCAATTTCAACCAAATTTGACAGAAGGGTAGGAGGTCTCAAAGATAATAATTGTTCCTGAAGGTTTTGTGAAAAGAAGTGGCTGAATAGAGGTTGATAGATCAGAACATGTCATAGCTAAAGGGGAGAACATTATGTGAACTCACACCTGATTAAACAGCAGAGAATACATGAGAGAGAGAGAGAACGAGAGAGAGATTATTAAATGTTCTGCCCATAAGAAAACTTTCACAGGGCAAGGAAAAAGTGCTGCTGTAGCCTGAGGGATTACTCTTTGCTGAATGGCAACATCCTGCAGCAAATAATCAGCCCTTAGCCTTGTAACCATGAGATACAGATCCATTGGAAATTAGGCCATTAATTCCAGTGCTCATAGAACTATTTGCTTTTAATTGTAACAAGTTGCTTGGAAATGCCCACAGCTGTCAATAATAATGAACAGGAGAAAGTGTGTTGCCTTTTGCTATTTATAGTGATTGTGTAACTGCTAAAAGACTTTACATGAAATTCTCTTTCACTTTAGCAACTGCAAAGTGACAAGTGATCTGAGCCACATGATTCATTAACTGAACAATCCTAAATTATCATGAAGTAGCAAGTATCATGAAGTGAGCATGTGCAGTACTGTACCTATTTGGCCTCCAAAATCATCTTCTACCCGTTAGGGAGACAAGACCTTTTCTTCATTTATATATATTTTTTTTTTACACCGGAGTTGTAAAATGTCAAAAATTAATGCTATGTTTCTCACTTGAACTTTTCGGGAAAATGTTGCCAAAATTGCTCAATGTTCTAAGGGGTCCGGCTCATAACACTATGAAAATAATCACAGATATAAACTGTATTGAGAGTTACCACATACCTGTAACTGTAGAGAAAGCCCAGCTTCCCCATTTAATCCTTTCCCCAGCAAATTAGACTTAACGTCCTTCCTTTGCTCACTGCTCACTTTCCCATGGGGTGAGAATCTAGCTTCTCCTGTAGCACTCCTTCATTTATGAATATGATTCCAGTGACCTTTTCCTCTTAGGAGAGGAGATGAGAGGTCAGTGTATCTTAAGTGGGAAGAGAAGGGTGAACTGGGTTATGTCTTTCCTTCCTCTCCCCGGCCCTGTTCTTTAGGTCTAGCACAGAGTACCACCAGCCATAGACCCTTGTGAGTCCCTTGGCTTCAACTTGCTACTCCATCTAGCTAATGTAATTCATCCACTAGTGCCAGAAGTACAAGTCTGTATGGGAAAAAGAGACATTCAGGAGATTTGATACAACAAATGTGATATGCAGGATTGTTTACAGCTTGCAAATGTAGGCATTGGGATGTTACAAAATGCAAGATTTACAGTTGGTCATGCAACAATAACAACGGTGTTGTGCTCCTGAGTTAAGGTTTTTAGCTGCATGGTCACAAGCCATTTCTCCACAGGACTTTTGCAAAATTTTGCACACAGGTTGAATGCACATAAGTTTCAAAGCAACTGTTAAAATAGCATTTCCAGACTTTAAGGTGTTTGGATTGGCAGCCTAAATTAACTCTGTCTCAAGGGTTGGTTTGGTTTTTTTTCCCAGTAAATATAAAGAAATGTATAAAATGGGCTTGTGTTTGTTTGCATATATGTGTATGTGCACAGCACCATACAGGCTGCTGTGAAGAAAATTAACTCCGTTCCAGCCAGACCCGGTACGCATACATACACATTTATTTTTATAGTAGCCCTATATTTGGCACTAGTTATGCCAAATAAAAACAAACAGTGTCAGTCACAGACACACATTTAAGGGTAAACGTGAGCATAGAGGAAAAGTACGGAAACCGTCTTTCATCACTGCTTTTACTCCTATTCTTGAGTATTTTTTAATCTCAGAGGTGTTCTGTTGTACTTAGCAATCATTTATTTAGATATGTATTTTGTGTAATACATAAATGTAATTTTGCATGCCACATACATATTGTTGGGGTTTTTTTAATATCAACCTTGCCAAACAGGTAATGCTTTGAATCTGAGAAGAGTAGCTGAAGTATAAATGTTCTTAAGGGAATAAAGATGGAATTAGCGAAACTAGATTTTTTAATATTGCCCTGCAACTTCAGGAGAAGTGGGAGGAAAAAGTGCAAGAATTTACACATAAATTTATGCACACAATTTTCTTTTAAACTTAACAGGTTTACCCCTATTTTCAGGATCATCTTGAATCTGGATTCGAGATTATTTATGTTTATGAGTAGAACATAGCTGTGTGATGGTAGTGGGTTTTGCTAATTTTAATTAGCAAAGTCTAAACTGATGAGAGCACATAGAGTTATCAAGGTCTCCTGCTATTAATAGAAGGAAATGATTAGCAGTGCATTTCTCACGAATCCCTGGAGTGTTTTTTCTCTGAACTGCTCAGTAAGTTTCTGTGAATACTATCAGATACAGAACTAACCCCTGAATGAAACTGAAAGAGGAAAATGAATACGCATTAAGTGAAGTCAAATAGTTTAGTAGTACTGAAAGATACAGATTTATGGCAAATATGCCAGCAATAAGTGAGAAAGATCTCAGCGAAGCACGGGTGAGCTTCACACATCATCTGTTTTAGGTAAAATAAGAGAACTGCATAAATTATCCAGTTATTCTTTGGCTTTGATAAAACATGGCTATTAATTGTTACATGTATTAAGAGATATTTCTGGCCTTTGTAACTGAGATATCATCACTGAAAAAAAGACAATTCGTTTTGATGAAAGTAAGCTAAAAACCAGTCTTTTGTGGTTGCTGAGATATCCTCCATCCAAGGAAAAAATGTTCGTTTCTTTGTAGGGAATACAAGGAGTTACAATACATGGCTACATTCGTGACAGGTTCTGAAAATAAAATGCCTGAAATATTCTGATGACAAGATTTTGGTGTGTTGTTGCTATGAGGAGGTAATTGTGAGAGGTGGCTATGCGAAAGAAGTAAAGCACAGTGGGCTAGATTGTGAAAATTTTACTCATGTTCTTGAGTGCTTACATGCACCCAAACCACTGGACTATTCATATGTATTATTCATCTTTAGTCTGCATTGTGGATATTTTTAGAGAATGGAAAAAATCCTACTTTGTGCTATGTCTTACTACAAAAAACTATTCAATTAGATCCAACTATAATAATTGCAGTTATCCCTAATCGCAGTTATCCATTTTTATAATCTTTGCTAATTATAAGGAGTAATACTTAATAAATGTTTAAATGGCTTTGTTTGGGATCCAGTTGGAAGCTTCATGAGATATTCTGGATGCAAGGAAAAGAAGGAACTTGATGAGCATACAGGGACAAGAGCAAAAGCGTAGCAGAGCTCTGCATTCCCCTGTTAGGATGGTATGCAAAATCCTTGTTCAACCACACCATCCAATACTATTACAAAGCAGAGATGCTATCTATGTACGTTAGAACTGCATTCAAACCAGTAGAAAATATTAATTTATGCAATGTGTTTTATGTACTTTCTGTTTTCTTTACACTAATTGGAGTTCATCCGAGATACACATGAATAACTTCATTAGCTGGAACTGGGTAATTTTTCTTCTTTTTCTTCAATATCTACAAGTTGCTCTTACTATGAAGTGTGAGCAAATGTAATGGAAAGGGAAAGCAGGGCAGAATATAAATAGGAAGTAGGCTGTGAGATGAGTAGAAATTTGCTTTAAATACTCACTCCTCTTAGGTCAGATTGACTAGCCTGTTTTGCATGGTACTTAAAGGAAATTGCTGGTGGGCAAGGTGGAAAAGAAGGTGATATTTTGCAACACCTCTGTTAAAATATAAAAGGTATATTTATATGCCTTTTATACACCAACACAGCTCCTGTGATAATGAGCAATCTTTTTGTTACCTGCCTATACACAGAGATTAGCAGTTCATTAATTAAACAAATCTGACCATGCAGTAGATCAGAGGAAGGCTAAATCAGGGGACGTTCTTGTTAGGTAAACAAATTTATGTCTGCATTACTTTCTAAACCTGTTTTACTAAACTAGAAAAGTTTTTAAGATAGAGGGAAAAAATCATCAAGCTTGCTGGTAAATGAGTGTAGAACATCTAGACATGATGTGCTGAAATACAAAGCCTATCTAATGTGGACTTGAATTCCTCTAGTGGGCCAATAGACAGATTTCTTGCTATGCTTTATCTCGTTCTCAGTGCCAGTGACAAGATTTTTCTCCCACTGAAATCTAATTACTAGCAGAACTGGCAGGATTTCAGCTGGTACTGTATCTACAGTGTTGTTAAAAAAGAGAAGGAGGGAGAAAGAAAAAAAGACGTTTAGGAAATACTTGGAAGAGGATCAAATCATTTTTGGTGATTAGTGAGGCAACAAAATTAAATATTTTAATAGGAGGATCATTTAAGTGTCCTAACTGTTGATGTCTTTTACCTTAGGTGTGCAGAAGGCTATTTTGGACAACCTCTAATACCAGGGGGATCGTGTCAGCCATGCCAGTGTAATGACAACCTTGACTTCTCCATTCCTGGCAGCTGTGACAGCTTGTCTGGTGCTTGCCTGATATGTAAGCCAGGTACAACAGGCCAATATTGTGAGAAGTGTGCTGATGGATATTTTGGTGATGCTCTTGATGCAAGGAACTGTCAACGTAAGTCATGAACTTTTACTGCTTCTGACAGTATTGATCTATCCTGTAACCGTGTTCCTGAGAGGAAGACTGTGCCTCTGTATATGTGAGCAGGAGAATGATACGGTGTGCTTACACCTCTAAGAATAATAGTATTTTACTTGCATCTGCATCTGGAAAGGGAGACTTCAAAGTAAATAGAAAGAAGAACCTATTAAAAAGCTTCCTGCTGTAGAATGAAGCAGTAATGAAGCAGACATGGAAAAAACCTGGGAGAGCAGAGCATTGCATGGATGCAAAAGGTTATACTAAATGTCAGATCTACAAAAATAAATACAAATAAATGAAAATGATTGAGTAAAAACGCTATAAGCCATCCAGGGAAATTTCATTAACTGGTGAGATTGGTGCTGAAGCAAGGGAGTGATATTTCAGTTACTGTAGGGTCCAGCTCTGGCACCACTCATGACCTCCTTCCTACCTACATGACCTCAGTAAGAGCTGGGAGCTGCTGCCTCTTACAGGGCCAGATTCTCCCACCTACTACAAAGGTGAGTCTAAAATCTCCTGACAAATTTTCTGAGGTGCTATGGAGGAGGATACCTGGCACTGCAGCAAGCTACCACTTCTCACCTGAGTGGTGGCATCACCCAGCTCATACAAGTATCAGCCCAGCTCATACTTCCCCATTATGATTGTGAAAAATTATTGAAAGCAGATGGAAGATTTGGTAGGAGCAGAAGCTTTTACTTCTGTAGGAGGCAGTGACGCTCTCTGAGCCATTGCTGGCACAACTCAGAACACGGCTATTAGGCAGAACAACTGCATTTAACTTAAACGTATTCTTCACATACGCTTCTACTCCATTCTGAGGAACGGAATACAACAGGTTATAAACTGTCCTGAGAGAGCAGAGCATTTTATTTCACTGTCACAAGGATTTAAGCCTTTTCGATTCATTGGAATAAACTCAGCAACTCCATTGAGTACAAAGGTGTTATGTCAGGATATAATTATGCAAGTAAAAGAGCTGGGCCACTTTCTTACTGCTTTGTGTGTAGGAACACAGGGACCACCTCTGCAGTATGTGTTGCAAGCACGAAAGTCTGAGCCATTAGTGGCTATTAGTGGCTTGTGGTTCGGCAGTGAGAATACTAAGTTCTGTTGAACCACCTAAGACTGTGGGGGAGCCAGCGAGGTACAAAACATCACCAGTTTTGTCAGCTAAGGCTAATAAACGCTGATATAAGTAAAATCATAGATAACCATGAAGATGTATCCCTGTGTAAATGCTTTCTGTACCTACTTTATACAGTGCTGGATAAAAGTTGGACAATCACATATATTCTTAGCATGAGTTAACAGTTCACAATGAATGATGTCATATAATTTAGGATGTTAAGTATGTAATGTGATTTAAAAAGAAGTGTATTTCAAAAATCGTAGCTTCCAGTAGCTTGTCACCATTCCTGAGGCATTGATAGGGCTGTTGCTTTGAACATTTCTACAGTAGTGGCAGCTGCATGGGAAAGAGATGTAATATGAGGAGAGTTACGATTTTTAAAAAAAAAGTATTAAAAATAAATACATATTTAATGTAGAATTACAAGCTTTGCTTTTGTTGTTAGTATCACTGACAAGGAGAGCCCCCTAATGTATTCCTAGCCTTGTGCTCACAGTTACCTTGCATTCATCTACTCTCCATCTTTCATGTGGATTTTCTTTTTTGCATATGATTTTCTATTTCCTTTGCAGACTTCCATTAAGTTTGCCCTGCAGCTACAATATCAGAGGGACTGTGCCTTTACTTTGTTGTTTTCAATTTCTTTCCTTATTAAAAAGCCAAATCCAAGAGTATTGCAAAGCATGAATTTTGCTTTCAAATTATTCTTTGAAATGTTTCTGCTCTTTCTCAATACAGTGCTGTTGTCATGTGCATTAACCATTTCAAACGACCGTACAACTTTAGGTCACTATAGCGTCTCTGAATTTCTTGGTGTATCTGTACAAAAACAAATCTAAGAACAATGAGCAAATGTCCTAGTTTGGAGTGTCAGCAGTTTTAGCACATGAATATTATGGTAAAGAAGAGGGCTGTATACTGGATGAAAGACGTAAATTATGGATCAGTTAGTGCCGAAAAACGAGAGTAAAAGGAAAAGAGAGGTGATGTTAATTACTGCAGAAGTGTTTTTAAATGTTTACATTTTAAAAATATGTTGCAAATCAGAAAGAGACCAAAACCTCTGAGGATGTTACCAGACTGATATGAGAGCCCAACATATTTTTCTTACTTATTCTGGAATACGAGACATCTTTGCAACTATTTGAGAAATAATGACATGAACAGCCTGGCAAGCCATAAAGTCACTTTCATTTAAAAGAAGCAACTTTTGCCGAATACCTCAAAAGTGGGGAGAAAACCAAAAAAAAACACCCCACATCTATTCAATTTACAATTGAATGTAAATTCAATTTACAATTGAAAATTGTATATTAGCAAGTCCAATAAAGTAATGAGGAAGCTCCTGTTGTAATAGTCTATACATAGAAAAAATCAGGCTGCTTTTTCTCAAATGGCACCTTGTGACATGCAAGTATGTGTTCACTGTTGGGACCCTTAAGTGTTTCTTGAAATGAAGCTGTCAGGTTGAGGAAAAAAAAAACAACACATGCAGCCAGGGCACTGCAGGAAGGCAAAATATGTTTTGGAGCCCTAGTTTACAGAGTGGATTGATAATCAGTACAGAGATGCGGATTCATTCCCCTCTGGGGAACAAAAAGGGACATTCAGGAACCAGCTCATGATGATGGAATTGGTGACTGCATGGTTATAGTCCCTGTGACACCAATCACATCCCTCTTCTTTACTGTGAATGCTAAAGGGATTTTTTCCTAATCTCTGCATGCCAGAAGAATCGTGGTTGAAGAACATAAGGGGTGATAGAAAGCTTCCTCAAAATTTCTCTTCTCCTAAAATATAAGAGTTCAGAAGCCAGAAGCATTGTTATTTTCCTCAAGAAGCAGCAGTTCCTTCTCATTGCCATTTTAAATCCTCAAGAGAGCGTTGTGATGAGTTGGGCTGGTCAGTTGGGTGACGTTTCCTCTGGGAGGTGTGATGCTGTTGCCAAGACAGGGGTCCTGGGAGCAGATAATCCTTAGTCTCTCTTTCAGCTGTACTCCAGGGTGCTGCCTGTGACGGAGAGCTCTTGGTGGGGTTGAGGTTGCTGCCCCCACCGCGAGGCTCTTGGAGCCTTCTGGCTCCTCAGCCTGCCAATGTTTCCTGCCCACTGCGTTAACACAGGCTGGACTCCAGGGCAGCAGGACCAGCGTGTGGAGCAGCAACACTCCCACCTGCCATAGCTATGTCCCGTATGCACAAGTTATTTATGAACTGGAGGCAAAATTTCTCACTGCAATAATTTGGAGCAAAATTCCGCATTACTACGGGTAGATTAATGTGTGTCGTCATGGTGTGGGAATGATGCCTTCCTGCTTTACTCGAGCCTGCCTTCCTGGACTTCTCAGGATGGCAAAAGCTGCACTTCAAACATTTGGCTATTAAAAATGTAGCTTCAGGAAACACATTAACAGCTCCTTTTTCCTCTGCAGCCTGTCACTGTCACACCAATGGCTCCTTCTCGGAGATCTGTGACTCTCGGACGGGCCAGTGTGAGTGCAAAGCCAACGTGATCGGGCGCCGGTGTGACGTCTGCAAGGTGAGGGACAAGAAGCAGTGTTTCCTTTCAGCTTTCTTCCCTGTTTTTCCTAACTAAATACTGTTTCCTTTTGGATAGTTTTTCTTTTTTGTTCATTTTTCACTTAAAGAACATATATGGGTTGTTCTTATGTACAGAAAGGTAAAATGGCTGGGTTTAAAATGTTTTCTGAAGGTTTTCTAGAACAGAACACAGAACGTTGCATTTGCATGCAGTGAAGATATTTTAAGCCTCACTGTACATGCAAATACGTTTTTATATATGGTATATACACCTTATATTCTGAATGTTTGATATAAATAAATTAGTTAAAAATATTGCAGCTCTGGAGGATAATCCCTCTATGAAGAAAGTTGCAAAATGTCTGATAGCATCTGATTTTAAAAAAAAAAAAGCAAGATGCTAGTTTACTTGTGGTGTGAATGTTCTGCTTTTATGTTTTTTTCTTAGTGTTTCTTCTTATATTGTCCAAATAGCGTATTACTCTTTGGGGAAAGTGTCTTTTGCCTTGACGTTGTTTTGCTGTCTCATAAACCACTGCAAAAAACAACGTTTCATAAACTTTCACAGAGTTGTCTTCAGGCTGCTAAGGAATATGTTATAGCTGGCTGCATGTTTCTCCAGTTCAGCACGAGGACTCATGGGTTAGGCCTGTGTCCTCAGAACTCCTCTGCATGCATGCAATTTAAAGCATATAAATAATTCTTCAGAAACTGCAGGGATCATTTTCACTCTTTAAAACTGCATAATTTCTGAAGTGGTTTGCTCGCGTTCTATTTTCAACAGTATTTAAAGAGTCTGTTCAAAGAAAAATTGTTGATATCCATGGAATTTGCACAGATTGCATAATGTACGCAGCAAATATCTCAAGCTCGTTAATACAATATTAGTGGTTGATTGGAATTAATCTTTGTTTACTACTGTATTTACTACTATCTTTATTCCTGTGCTCTTTTATGTGCTGTAGTTTCATTATTTTCACTTTCTAACAGTGCTTGCTTTTCATTCTTAAAGCCCAGCTTCTTCTGGGCTCCAGAAAAGCTGTTTTGTATACCCTGTGGCTGCAGTGCTTTAGGATCCATGTCACTGCAGTGTGACATGTCAGGAAGATGTATCTGCAAATCAGGATTCATGGGCAGACGCTGTGAAATCAGCAGACAAGTGCCTAAATTGAAAGAAAACGCACGAAGCAGTCAGCAGATCCGAGTCCCCCCTCGGAGATGGGGCATCAGCAGTGCCAGTGGGTGCCCACGGGGTGCTTACCGGCCTGCCACTCCGGTAATCAGAAACTGTGTGGGTTGCATGGACTGAAATCTCATACTCGCTTGTGTTTGGAGCTCCTGCAGGCTTTTTTTTAATTTTAAATAGTGTGCTACAATATACAAAATTATCGAGAAACATACAGACTCAGACGACAGGCAGCCTCTTAGGGTACTTCCCCACTCCTAGGGCTTCTCATTGTGTAAATGACACTATATTCCAGAAGTCAAATACCAACATGAGTCCACAAGCAACACCATCAACAGCGATACGCACAAAATGCATCAGTGGGTTTTTCATGGCCTTCAGCAGGAAAAAGGATAAAACTTCCTCTTCTAACAATTCAAGAATGAAAATCTTAAGGAGTTTGCAAGAAGGATCAGTCCCAGAGGCAAAGTGTTAAGATCTAATCTTGAAATATCAAACATAACTGGTGTTAAAAGTTCTCATGTAGTGAATATGGCCAGTTTTCTCAGCCTTTTTTAACGGGGTGAAGTGCCCATTTTTTGAATGTAACGCCCATAATGACAGAAGTATTCATTTTTTATCACATACCAACAAAGCAACTTACTTCCTAAAGTGAAGTAATTACGATGCAACTGCTTCTACCAGAGCAGTGTTTCAGGAATGTTGGGTTTTGACCCTGCAACTCAAAACCTCCACACTTATCACGCCTGGTTTGAAAAATACCTGGCATTATGTTTCCTCCTCAGCTAGACTCTGGGACCTGTGCCAGATTTGCTTGTATGGATTCCCTTGGAGAACATGAGCTTTTACCCATTTAACATATGTTACAGAACTGCGTTGCCCACAAAAACACTCGACACACATAGACTGATACAGAGACACAATATAATAACATACTCAGAAAATTCATCCTATTTGCTCATTGTCATCCACGATCTAATCTCTTGTTCAGTAAATGTGATTCTTAGAATTTCTGTGTGTAAACAAGCTTTGCTGAGGGCTTAACTTGGGGGTTCATCTTGGGGGTTTGCATGACTGATCAAAATGTCTTTGTGCAGAGCTCATCACAGAACGCGACCCAGCATGCTAGTGATCGTTTCTTCCTTCACGCAGTGTGGAATGCTAGTGTATCAGACTTTCTCTGGCTTTCACTCTTATAAACAGAATTTATTAAATCCTATCAAACTTTCTGTTGAGAACTGAGCTACATGCTGTGCATTGGTTACTTCACTGCTTTAATCTGAATGTCTGTCCTGAGATTTTTGCATATTCACATTTCTGTATGTCTCTTCCTATGGGAAAGGAATCTTTAGAGATAGTCTGGATATTTAATCGAACCTTGGAATTTAATTGTATCAGTTTGGGTTTTTCTCTATGATGCACTGTGTTTTGCCATGCAGACTTATGTAATTCGCAAAATATTTCAATATAGAATTTGGGAATGAAAATCAGTGCAATTCTTTATTATGTGTATAATCGTGTATTTGCTTAGCTTCTTATGATTCTTCAGGCCAAATTCTGACCATAGGTGTGGTCCTGTATTCTGATACCTATCAGCAGATTCTCTATGGGAATGTGGAACTTCAGTATTAACCTCAGATCAGATTTTAGGACTTTTACATGGAAGCCTGCTGAAGTCTCTGGTAATTGACCTACACAAGAGGTTAGGGGTTCCACTGTGGAACAAATCCATGTAAAATGTAAGTCAGTGCAGCTCTACTGACTTGAAAAATCTGTAGTGATGAATATACTAGGTAAAAATCTGACTTCATATGCCTGGGTCACACAGTAGTACATTGTAAAAGTAAATATTTTCCACTTTGTTCTGTTTATATTCATTAGCAGTGATCTTTTTAATATCTCATTTTTAATATTTTACTTACCTAGCAAAATCTCTGATAGATTTTTTTTTTATTAAATATGGTAGTGTCAGTTTCAAGTGAAGTTAGTAATATGATTTGGATTTTAATATCCTCTGAAAATCATTGTACCTGAAAAAAAGGTAGAAAACTACTACCATTTTAAGTTACTGCAGCTCAAGACTGAGTTCAGAATATGAATATCAAGTATGGTTTGCTCCTAGGGCCTCTGTTAGCTGGTGTAGTGAAACCTCTGGGGTCTGTTGGTTAAAAGCTTCAGGTAGAACTCCATATTACAGTGCACAAATGAGCATGTATCTTCCCTTCTTTACAAGTTTACATTTTGTGCTGCACTAGTGGAGTTGAAGAGGAAATTTATTACTATTTCTAGTGCTGTCGGAACATTACAGTACTCAATGCAAAAAAGAAAGCAAAGAATGAAAATAGAACAGAAATAGAATCTCATTGATTATTTCTATCTTAGTCTTAGACCTAACCCGAAGACAGAGACTTTATCTTAAAAATAGGTAATTTCTGTTATTTACTTGTAATGTAAACAAATACATTGTGTCTATGTTCTTCTAAAGTTATTCCTGAACATCATTCAAAAGAGGTGCCCTCGAATTACAGAATACTGTATACGGACATTACCCCTGGTCAGAGGAGATAAAATCTAGTTGTTCAGAGACTTTCCAGTTGAATCAATCCATATTCGTAGCTAAGATTTTGAATTCACTCCCTCTGCCTGACATAAACTTACAACACAGACATGGGATGTGTACGTGGCACTGACATACATTCCATTTCTTGTAGGAATTGTGTGTGGAAACACAACCTCATAGGAAATGCGTTACATTGCAGAACATTCATTATAGATCAGGAAACATTCTGAAATCTTTATTCTTTTTCAGCTGTGCAGGGTATTTAGTGCCCTTGCCCCAGTGTTTTACTGCTACAATACAATCTGTTAAGAGTAGTGTTTCAGTGATGAAAAGGAACGAACCACCCCGATCTCCCTACACTCTCAGCTTTTCCTCTTTTCTCCAGGTAATCATTCCATGTACTAACTGCTCTTCCTCTGTCTGTGGCAGCCTGAAACATTTGGCTTACAATCCTCAAGAGGCTGTGTTCCCTGCAACTGCAACTCTTTTGGTTCCAAGTCCTTTGACTGCGATGGAGATGGACAGTGTTATTGCCAGCCTGGAGTGACAGGAAAGAAGTGTGACCACTGTGCTCATGGATTTTACAACTTTGAAGAAGGAGGCTGTACTCGTATGTAAATTCTTTGCAACCAATTGCAGGTTGATTTATTTGTTTGTTTATTTATTACTAAAGTTTCTAGTTTGACTGGTTTTGGATCACCTAACAAATTTTCTTGACAGGTAGGTATCTTCATATAGAGCCCTGTAAATCAATCATTTGGCAAGGATGGTGATTGGCAAGAACAAAAGGCCCAAGCAATTCCTTTCTTTAAGATCAGTTGATGGCTAATGTACCATGTTTAGAAGGAACAAGAATGCCCTTTTCTCCAAGTACTTTCTTCCAAAAAAGTTCCTATTACTTAATTATGGTAAGAGTGTCATAGAAGGCTGATTAAGGTGCTTGCCAAATCACATCAGCTTGAAGGGATGTGAATGGAAAAAAAGAAAAAAAAAATCCCTTTGCTTCTAGTTTTACCCCCAGCATTTTCACTGTCCTTACTGGTTGATCCTTTTTTATTAAATTTCTATAGAGTGATATTTAGGATCTTGTATACTTTTTGTGTACAACAATATCTTCAGATAAAATTCTCAATGTCCCTTGTGTAAACACATGAAAAGTATGTTCTTCGAGATGCTGAAACTCTAGCATCAGGCATAAATATATCCAGCCACTTCTGTACATCTATGTTTGTCCTTTTGGACGTTAGGTCAAACACTGAAATGAATGTTTCCTGGCCTTAAAGCAGTACAGACTGCTACATCAAAAAGAACCTAATCAATAGATCTCTTCCCAGGGAAGTATCCCATCTTTGCTAATAGAACTGTATTTTTAAGTCTCACAGGCTTATTTAGGTGTGATCATAGAAGATGTAGTTGTCTAGTGTGGCTGGCTGCTGGAATGCCAGCATGGCGATGGCTCTGCAGCTTGCTTTGCTGATGGCAGAGTGCTATAAAGCCAAGGGTATTACTGCTATTATTTTTCAGGCAGAAGCTGTATTCTTTCCAGAAGCAGAAGTCACCATGCTTGATACCCTATTCTGCCTCCTTTCCTATCCAGAATGGCAGTAGAAGCAACAAGCCTAGATCTCTGCCTTTTTTTACTCCCCTTTTTTATGGAAGGAGCATCTAGACCTCGAGACTCACATCTGTGCAGCAAAATCCAATTTCGCCCATAGTGTTGATAAAGCTTGAGTCAGGCTGGATTATAGATCCTGTCTGAAAACATTACTCTACAGTTTTGCCTCCCATGGGAAGGAAGGGCTAGGAATGTGTTTACCACCTTGGGAAGTTCGAACGTGTTGGCATCTAGGAAAAGGGAAAGATGGGTTCACAGGCTCGCTAATGAGAGAACTTGAAACAAAATGCACATGACAACTGCAGTCCTAAAGTCCTTAGCACATATACAGAGAGAAAAGAAATACAGAATATCTTCATTATTAGTCTCTTATTCTAGCATTTCACAGTTAAAAAGAACACCACTGTTGTGAAATACTACAAAATGTTAATTTCATACAGTTAGGGAAGGAAAATGAGGGAGCAATTAACAAGATTTCACAATAAAATTTTAACTGTTCTCTTGGAAAACATGAAATGACAAAGTTTAAGGAACAATGATGAAATGGTAAAGTAGTGTAATCCAAACAATATTTTAAACAGAAATGTATCTGCCTGTGGTCATCAAATATTTTAAATAACCGCAACAGTTAAAGAAAATTCATATTTTTAGAAGTTCCAAAGTTAATACAACAGATGGAGAGGAATTCTGTTTTCAAAATGCTGTTTTTCCCCACTTATTTTTAGTAGGCTTTTTTATGTATTCCTTCAAATGACAAAAAAAAAAAAAAGGAATTAAATTATGAATCACAGAGAAAACCAGAAATTTAACAAAAGTGTATCAAATTGTGCTAGGAAGAAAGTGCACAAAAATGGATTCCATAGTGACAGTTAAGTATCGAATAAAATATTGGACCTCTTTTATCTAGCGTTTATCTAAAAAGAATATAATTTGATTTTTTTCTTATGTGATAAAAAACCATAAAGCTTAAAAAACCCCCTAAAGCATCATCAGTTAGCTTTGACATTCTAGCAGCGAAGATACAAAAGAGATTTCTATTTCACTATTGCTTGCAACAAATGTGTTGCATTTTTTCCATATTTTTTTTAATAATGATAAAAGTAAAAATGCAAAAAATATTACTATATCACTTTCCTCCCCTCCATGCCTTTTGAACCAATCTTTTGTAAGAACTGGAAGCCCATAAAAGAGCTGTCACATCCAAAAGCCTCAGTCTCCCAGAGAGAGACGTATTCTGAAACATCTTCAAGCCACAGTGTGTCAAAAGATTTTATGTAGCATGCAAAACATCTTGTTCCTGGCACGATGGAGGCAAAACTTACTATCTTTGCATCAGTTACCTTGTTTTGAAAGCATTGATGGGGGAAAAATAAAGGTTACTTCTTATTTGAGCTGTGGATTTGAGTTCTATCTTTGCACATCTAATGTTTTACTCTGTGTTGAAGTATTTCATACAGTGAAGGTAATGAACATAAATACAGCCCTCAGCAATGAACATTATGTTAAACTGTCCTATAAACATACCAAGGAATAGATTATCACTCAGAGAGTCGCAGTTTGCTTATGATGCTTTTGGTCTGACCTCAAGAGTAATGTTGACGATGGGTGTGAAAATAACCATGTACCAGTTCTGCTTCTCCAAGCAATTAGGTGCCAATCTTGTGCCCCATAGCTATCACTTACATACCTTGAATCTGCATTTGCCACTGGTGAGTCGTTCACTTAATAATGCTTCAAGAGCAAAGACTGCTTTTGGAACCACTTCCAAAACCAAAGTGTTTTTAATTGAATAAAAATCTGCAGAGAATCACAGTTTCCTGTGAAGAGGCACATTATTGATGTCCTCCAAGGCAGAATACATGTAATCTGAAAAAAAGGAATAGAATGAGAAAAAGAAACTGAAACACTTTTTTTACCATTTAAGAAAAATTTGTTTACAGCAGCAGAAATTTCAGGAGGTTGGCTTAGATTGGTGGAAGAGGTTAAATAAACTTCAAGTTTCCTGCATAGAGGGCTCAGATGCAGTCAGGTGGCTTCTTCCAGAAGACAGCATTGGCCCAGAAACTGTACAGCGATGTTCCTGCAGCTGTATCATGAATGCCCCATCTCAGAAGTCTCTGGACTTCTACAGTCAATGCCTTTATTTTTCCCATTCTGTTCTCATTGCAGTTACTTCAACCTCAGTTAACCGGTATTGCATTGCTCCTGGTTTTGGTTTCTCTGGGTTTACCCTACCTTACCTTTCCTACTCCACTGTGTCTGCAGAGAACTGAGAGTTCACTGTACAGTAAAGGCTTTGCTGGAATGATCCAAACCCTGTTAGGGTTTGCTCTCCAGGTGTTGCATAAAGGGGTAACTTTTCCTCTGCTCTATTCTTTTCTGTTTCCCATGAAGCCTGTGACTGTTCACGTTTTGGTAATAACTGTGATCCCGTCAGTGGCCGCTGTATCTGCCCTCCTAATACTGTTGGAGAGATGTGTGACAAATGTGCACCAAATTACTGGGGCCATGACATTGTCAGTGGCTGCAAGGTGAGTGGATCTCACAGATTTTCTCTCTGTGTATTACGTCTTTCCTGTGGGGTTAAATACAGTAATTTGTAGCTGGAACACAATTTTTGTCTCTGTATTGCGAGTTGAGGTGTCAGACTGTGTTGGGAATGTTGGCGATCTGTTACCGAGCACTACAGATCCTCTGTCTCAGGTGTGCAGCCTGTAATACCAAACACCCAGTCTATACTGCTGCCATGCTGAGTCAGTGTCCTGCCTGAGCCTGGTTTATTTTATTTTAGCTGTGTTTAACGTGATGGAGATCACAGCAGTATTGTACAATGTATGTAGATGTATAGTTACAGGCAACTGACAGTGCCTTTGCCAAACAAATTTACTTTGGCCCTAATTGTTATACCACTGGGAATTTGTACTTGAAGTTTACTTGAGAAGTGACCTGTGCATAAAAGACAGTGAAGAGAGAAGAAAAGAAACAACCACCTTAGCTGTAAAATGCACTTTCTTCCTATGTTCTTAAAGGGGAAATAAACCTCATTAGCCTTTAAATCCTTCTTATTCCAGTGTTTGACACAGTTAAAAAAATTCCAAAGAGGAGGGAAGAAGGAAGAAGAAATAAGAAAACAATGATAGTATGTCAGAGAGGCCATGAAAGCTGCTGTTAATGTCCTACTCTTGAGTTAAGGGGAACAGTATTTGGATAAGGGTGAAAACTGGTGACAGTGAATAGCATGCAAAGTTCAAAAATCTTCTCCTCTCTGCTGTTCTCACTGATGATGAGAGATTTATAATATAGCTACAATTACTCCAAAAAACTGTGTCTTGTCTGAACATGGTCATACACAACTAATGCTCTTTCTAAAAGGGCTGTTTGTCATGTAGCTCAGGCTGCAAACTAATTATCAAGAATGATTTCTTTTTTGTATGTATGGAAAACTCCTCTTGTGAAACCTCTGCTGTGCTGCTGTGATATAGATTCTTGGCTTCTGAAACCAGCCTAATGAGGTTGAAGACCTCTGTTTGAGCTCTGGAGTGTATTCTTTGATTATCTTTTATGTGAGCACATTAGTATGGCAGTTCCATGGCACCATCTAAATTAATAATGATCTATCAGCCCACATCTCTTTCAGTATGTTGCAGCTAATTTCTGCAAAGTGAGATGTGAATCTCCTGCTCACACTCGTTGTAGAAGATTTCCAGGGCTGTTGTAACTCAGGAGGATAGAGAGCATTGCGTAAAACTGCTTGCTCAGAAAACAAACATAACATCTGATCGTGATTTAGGTTTTGATATTGAACACCAAGCTATTTCAGTGGGTGGTTAACAATTTGCTTTCTAAGCTTTATGTTCAAATATATCCTGTAGAGTAAGGTTCTTTCTGTCAGAAGGTTTTATTTCTTAGGTTAGGTAGTGGTCTAGCAGTCTAACATTTAACCAGTAGTTAAATACTTTCTCTGGCATTCATTAAAGATTGAATTTGAGAATTTCCTGTATATGATTACCTTCTTTATAAATGGTCTTTTCAGGTCAGAAGAAAGGTGCTTTAAGTATTCATATAATGAACAGTTTTGCTTAGAAACAATCCACATTTTCCTCCTCTCTTTTTCAGCTTTGTGTTCTTAATTTTAGCAAGTCTTTCCATGTCAGTTACTGTGGTAACCTGTACTACTGGCACTGAGTTTGCTTCTGCAAGCTGAACTTCTCCATATGAGATTCTGGTCACGCCAGTGATCGCAGCAAATGTCCTGTGCTAACTTTGCAGAACAGTCACAGTAATAACACTGAGGGATTCGTCTGTTCTTTAGAAGCCCGCAGCTTTCCCTGCTACTTACTTCTGTGCTCAGTATCTAGACCCCCTGGCAAATCACCTATTCCTATCCTTACCTGCCTGCGGATGTCTCATTCTGTGAGCAAGTTTACTTCCCAGTACACCGCATGACTAAATCTCCATCCCTTACTGTGTAAATTACTGTCATCTAAGAGTCCTGTTTGTGCAAAGAAGATAGTTACCTGTCTGATGGATGACTAATAAACATTGAACTAGATTCTGCTGGGACCACTGCCCCTGAGCAGTTACAGTTGTAGGAGAGTGGTCTGAACATGCCCTGCAGAGGATTTACACAGAAAGCACTTTTTAGAGAGCACTTACAGTTTTTAAGTTAATTTTGTCCAAAGAGTATCCCAGTGTCCTTGACCCTTTTGGATTTATTTGATTTCACTGCCTAACTTACCAGTGCTAAGTAATATCTGTTCAAAAAGAAAACAGTGTTGTAAACATATTTAGTGTAATTGCTTGACTTTGTTGAATAAAGATAAACACCTAGCCTTATAATTCAGATATTCTACCTTTGGACAGTGGAAATTCGCTGCTGTACTTAATTTATAGATAGTTGAAAGAGGTGAGTTGCTTTTTTGTTGTTGTTTGTTTGTTTGTTTCAGAAGCATAATTACAATTTTCTCCTTGTTTCTTTCCTTTTTTAGCCTTGTGACTGCAGCCTCGTTGGAGCCCTGAGTTCTCAGTGTGACTTAAATACAGGCTGTTGCTTCTGCCACCCTGAATTCTCTGGGGATAAATGCACTGAGTGCAGGTTGGGTTACTGGAATTATCCACAATGCGTTGCTTGTCAGTGCTTCCTGGCAGGGACTGATCCACAGAGCTGTGATACGGAGTTGGGGAAGTGCTCATGTGTTGATCATACTGGCCAATGCAGCTGCAAGGTAGGACAATGAAGGTTGTAAGCTGATCTTACAGCTACTGAGAAGTTTATTCCAAAATTCACTGACACTTATACTTGCCTGTTCCAACAATACATGCAAACAAATTTATTTCGTTTTCCTAGTGCATTTGCTAACTGCTGTGGGAGGAGTCTAACATAAGGAAAGACTTCAGTGCTTATCAGTTGCTTTTTAACACGCTAAGACTTGCCAGGTTAACAGCCTCTTAGGCTCTCTTCTCACTTTGTATTTCTTTCTGTTCTTACAGAACCGTTGCCAATTTAACCCCATTCAATACAATTCTTGTTCAGATATTCAGCAAATTAAGAGCAAACGCATCAGTAATAGTATGCCACAGTTCTAGTTCTTTATAGTACATTGACTTAGAGGAAGTCAATATTGATCATTTTATGACTAGAATTCACTGTGATAGTATCTGTTCTTCTGAGCAGACTTCATCCAGTTCAGGATCACTAAAGCAAAGACTTTTGGCATCATCACCCACAGCATTCTTACTTGGAATTGTTCTTGGAAGAACAGAACACTTAGTTGGTTTGAAAATTGTCTGGATTGCTGGGTTTAAAGGGCAATAATCGGTGGTTTGATGTGCAGTTGGTGGCGAGCAAGCAGAGACCCCAGAGCCAGTACCTTCATCAGTAACACAGATGACAGGATTCATCAGCAGCAGATTTGAGAATATTGCTGATTTGGAGGAGGTAGAGGTTGACGTGCTGAGCAGTAAAACTACAATCTAGAGGGTCCTTGAAAAGCTTGATGGTTAGGAAAATAGAAAGGTCATTAATTGGAGTGGAGTATCCTTAAGAATCAGTATAATTTGGGAGGAAAAAGGCTGTCTGGTAATCCTGCTTAAATGCACATACAGGCTTTGGGGAATGGCAAACTGAACATAAGCCAGCCATGTACGCTCCTTGTAAATAAGGCAGGCTGCCTGCTGAGCTGGGTGCATTGGTCATACTGGCCAATGCAGCTGCAAGGTGGGATATTGTGAAGAGTGTGACCAGCAGAGACAAGTCTTTATCCCCCCCTCTACTCAGTGCTGGTAAGACTGCACTTGGCAATGGTGTTCAGTTTTAGGACCTGAGACAAGAGCGTTGTTGAGAAACTGGAGAGGATCCAGAGAAGGTCTATAAAGAAACTTAGAGCAGATGATCTGTAAGGCTATATTGAGAGAGCTGGACTCTTTTAAAAAGTCTGCAAAGTATAAAGGCTAAGAGAAAATGCACTTGCAGCCTACAGCCACTTCAAAGAGTAGTTGATGGAGTCAGGTCCTTTCTGATGGCAGCAAAAGATGTGACAAGGGACAACAGATGCAAATGGAAGTTTGGGAATTTTGAGTTGGACATTAGGGGAAAAAAAGCACTAGGAGGGTTATGCAACACTGTAACAGATTGTGCAGAAAGGTTGCGAAATCCTCATTCTCAGAGGTTTTCAACAATTGACCAGAAAGAGGTGTGGGTAACCTGATCTAGCATTGATGATAGTCCCGCTTCAAAGAGGAAGTTTTAAAAAGTGACCTCTAGAGATTCCTTCTATGATTTTGAGTCATTCTTTTTCAGGGAATGTATTGACACAAAGAGCTAGTAAAATGGAAGGATGAATTTAAATGATTGAATTGCCAGGTAATTCTTTTGTTAAACAGGCACCAGGCTTTTCATTCTGAGTTTAAAGGATAGACTCAATGGAAGAACTGTAGAACAAATTAGATTGGAAGGGACCTATGGAGGTCATCTAGTCCAGTGTCTTGTTTGAAAGACATTGCTGAGACAGTATTTGCACGGATGGGGATTTCACAACCTCTTTGTGCAAACTGCTTGACCACTCTCCGTTTTTTCTGGTGTACTTGAACAGAAAACATCATGTTCTATTTCACAAATACCTATTGGTTTGATAGTGAGACCATAAGAAACCTGAAGTAAGTGAGTTGATCACATGGACCATCTGAGTCAAACTAATAATCAGTGTTATTTGTCCTATGTCATCCTCTGAAATGAAAAAATAGAGGTATCTCAATTCTTTCAGCCTCTCCTGATACAAGATGTGCTCCAACCCCTCTAACCATCTTGGTGCCCTATTTTTGGATTAGGTCCAGTATGTCAGTATCTTTCTTGTAGCTCTGTATGCATTAAGTAGGAAGAATGCGAGTTTATGGCATTTTTAAATAGAAGTGTTTCTTTGTTAATTCTTTTAAGGCAAATATAATTACTTCTGTGTTTCTGTGAGTGCAAATTAACAGTATATATTTATCTGATGATTAATGATAAGAAACGGCAATTGACATGAAACAAAATGCAAAGCAAGTAAAATTTACAATTTATGACAGAAAATGGACAAATAATACTAAATTAAGTCAGCAGTTTTGTTGTTGTGTTGTTTTTTTTTTTCCAGAATTCAAATCTAAGGTTGAGTTTAGATCTAGGGTTAGTTATCCTTTTGTCTAACTTTTTGGAAGAGTTATATATTGAAGATGCTAGATTTCTATAAAATGGTAGTTGTTCCCATTTAGACCTGCTGTTATAGCTGCGGAAATGAGCTTTCATCGGCTCAGGAGCCCCTTTGTCAGCCCTGACAAAAAGCGGCAAAGTCTAAGCTAAATACAGTGTAGGCACATTTGTTGATAGAGTTACATGTGGAAATGAGGGTTAAAAATGGTAAATCCTCGGGGATAATGTTGGTTTCCTGTATAAGCTTTGGAAAGTTGAATTTGTTTTTTGGATTGGCGGCTTTCACATTACTCTCGAGAGGAAAAAAAAAAAAAAAAGAGGGAGAGGAAAAGCCAACCAGTGCTTTCATATTGGTAGCTTGTGGGGGTTTTTTTTCACACTTTGATCGCAGTATGAAAATGGTTTTAAAAGGCTATGCATAAATTATTTTGTATCTGGCCCTATCTGGTATAGCTTTATATTTGCGCTAATTGAAAAATGAAAATAAAAGCATTGACATTACAACAGTGAAACATTTCAGCCTTGTTAATACTGTTCAGTGATGTGAAAAACAATCACGAAGAGGGGAAGGCTTTTCTCTACAATATTTCCATTAAACTGTGTTTCGCAGCAAGAACATTTAGTACTGTACCTTAAACATTCTAACTTGTCAAAGCTGATTCCTATTAAACAAAAGGCCTGATTAACACTACCAATTTCAGAAGGACATTTTTTTTTCTGATCTTATCAATCAGTTATTGAGCATGTCATGCCCAAAGAGCCATTTGATTTTTCTGTGCTTACAACTGTCAGTATGAAGCCAGCCTCCATTGCTCAGAGCTACTCAATGGATACAAACGCAAATGCCTCAATTACGTTAATTGTGTATGTTTGCATACACACATGATGAGAAGCTGGAAAGTTCCTTGAATGTTTCCTTACACTTATTATTATTTCTTTCTGCACCCTGTTATTATCATTACTGTATGATTTTCTTATTAATACCTCAAGATAAAGCTTGCTTTTTTCCTTTGTTGTTTGTTTTTTGTTTTTTTTTTTTTAATATTCTCTCTCTTCCAGGTTAATGTGGAAGGTGTCCACTGTGACAGGTGCAAGCCTGGTACATTTGGTCTCTCTGCCAGAAACCCACTTGGCTGCAGCAGTTGCCACTGCTTTGGCGTGACTACGCAGTGCAGTGAGGCAAGGGGGCTGATTCGCAAGTGGGTGAGTAGGAAACTGCTGAGCCATGTAATGTGATAATGTTGTTTCCTGCTGGCATCTTTTAGTCAGGCACCGAGAGGTAGCTAGAAAATGGCCAAACATTTAAGCAATCATTTTCCTCTTTATACTTGGAGAAGTGGAGAGAGCAGTATGTTCCATTAGACAATCGAGGTCAAGGCATTAAAAGTAAGTAAGTAGATAAAGAAACCAGTGATAGGATAGCTGATGTCAAGCCAGAGTAAAGCTATTAAAACCTAGGAAAGGGCAAGCTATTCGTGCTTGGAGATTATGCAGTCCAGCGCATTGTAACATGATCTCTGGTATATGACACACAGTTTACCCAGGTGTATTCAAGGGTCACAAATGCCTGTTGTCCAGCATAGATTTCCCACGGTTCGATTAATCTGTTTATTTTCATTGTTGCTTTTTAAAAAAAAAATTTAAATAGAGCTTTTTTAAGCTCTGTTTAAATCAAAGAATGAAAGGCTATAATCCATCAGAGCAAACAAAGGGCTCTCCACCTTCTTGCTGAAGAAGGCCTTGAGACCTATCCTAGACTGACAAGGCAGACTGGATGTCTCCATTGATCTGTACTATGAGTGCAAACCACCTTGAGACTGCTGCTGTCCGCCGCTGCTGTGCCAGCTCTTCAGTTACATTCCGGAGGAACTATTTCTGATGGAAAATGACTAGTTCAGTCCCAATGTGTTGTTGGTCATATCTCTACTAGAAAGCACGTCAGCCATATAGGGAATGTCTGCCTAATGCAAATCAGCCAAGCCCCTGACTTGTTTTATGCACAAATGTTGATTGAATAAGGATACTTGAGGCTGAAATTGAGGCGTGATCTCATACTAAAAAGTTCATAACTCTTGGTTAAAGTAATATGAATAGCACCATTCTCTTCTTCATTGTTCAATCCAATAGCAC